CCTAACAAATATAAGACAACTCCTGACGAATATGCTAAAGAAGTTGAAAATGACGACTAAGCATTTCTATACCATGCGTAAACTGTCATGTAAGGTGGCATGTAGTCTTTACTTTGTCCCGTTGTTTGCGTATATCCCGAAACGCGATGTGTATGGTTTCCTCCTCCCTCAGTGTTACTCCAGTAACAATTTATAGCAAACTTAACGTTGTCTTTAACATCATATCCTTTACCTTTTGTCATTGCTGACCAATCCCAATATCTATGCTTATGCCAACCTGCTTGAGATGTACTTAAATCTATGTAGTGACTGTGTGCAGGTAAATTTTCACCTGAAATCGTTTTACTTCCACCTGTTTCCTTTGAAGAGTTTGCACAATACAAAAACCTGTCGACTATTTGAGTCCAAGTTCCAAAACCCAGAACTGTTTCTGGATTTGTTGAGTTCATTGACGTATAAATAGAGCCTATAGGATATAATGTTTGAAGTATTTCTGTCTTTAATGTTTGAAGCTCTGTTTTGTCTGCTTTCTTGTCTAACATTGCGGGTAGTTCATATGCTTCAAAGTTTCTGGCATGACTTTCAATGTTCCTGCAATTCTTATCTAAATTGTTAAGAGTATCTTTTACGCTTGTACTCGGATTCTCTAAAGGTGCACTTGAACCAAGGTCAAAGTTCAGTATTATGTCGTCTGCTCTAACAGTTGTAAAACTTGTATGTGTATGAGTCTTATTTGCTTTCTTCTCTAACTCATCGTTAACATAAGTTTTATCTGCTTTAAGGTCTAAACATCCTGAAACCCATCCTGTATCGGCTTTAGTTTTTAAAATCTTCGATGTCCATTCATGGTACCAGTCAACCCTTTCTATAATTTCGTTATCTTTTTCATCCACATATTCCTTATCCGCTTTCTTCTCTAACTTACTAGCCACATATTCCTTATCCGCTTTCTTTTCAAGGCTAACGTTTAAGTCTGTTATTTCAGATATAGAATGTGTATGAGTCTTTTTAGAATATTCGTTTTCAGCTCTTGTCACTTCACTTGACATTTTATTGTCAACATATGTTTTGTCTGCTAGTTCAGGATGAGTATGTTCTTTTGTTGCATAAGCATTGTTAGCTCTTTCTTCTTCTTTTGCTATTGCATCGTCTACATATTCTTTTCAGCTTTGTTTCAACATCTGCTTTCAAAAGAAGTTCATTTATAGGTTTCTCGTTTAAAGTTCCTTTTGTTGGATTTATACAGACAGTATTGTTCTTCTTGTCTTGAAACAGAAACTCATCTGTCATTGGGTTTAATGTCAGTTTTAAGTTTCCTTCTTTCAATGACTCAGATATCTTAGAATAGTTTGAAAAGTTTGTTGTGTTCTTATTTTAGAGCTTGCATAATGAGTTGTCGGTTGTGTTGTATTTCTCTTATGGAAGCAATATCTTTCGACATTTTTATTCTAGATAAAATATGCTTTCAATAGAAAAAGAAAATTCAAGAGTTGCTACAACTAAACCATTAGATGAACTTTTTACTAATGTCGGTCAAAAGTTTGAGACAGAGACCGTAAAGCATGAAGGCTATCTTTGACTACCATTAAGATGGTTAAGAGACCCATCTGTCACAAAAGCTATTGGCTTTCGTAGAATGAAGTTCATTTCAGAAGCCATACATGGTTTCCCATTTACGGTCGGTTTTGAAGTTCGATACTATAACAAAGAAAAACGTATGTATGAGAAATTTGAACAGGGAAAACTTTTACAAGTTAGTTTGCTTTAAACTTAGAAACAACTCTTCAAGCTTTTCAAGAAAAAATAAACAATATCTATATCGAATATGCAAACCAGTATAACATTGACGAGGGAGAATACCATCTCGATATTATTTATGACAGGAAAAATGCAACTGTTAAAATCAATAAAATAGAAGACCTTGGAGAAAACGTTTATATTTCTACAAAATATAACAACTTGCATGGTATAGATTTATGAGGATGTTAAATCAGCCTGCAGCATATCCAGTACACCCAGACTTTTATGAAGTCGAAAACCCTAATGGAACATATGAAAATGTTTTCGACCCAGCTGCTATTATTTGTTCATGCTTCATTTTCTGGCGCCCAAAACTCTTTCTTATGCTTGGCAAATGACTTTTACGAAAAACCTACAAAGTTATACGAACCACCAAGTGAAGTATTTCAGACTTTCAAGTATGGTTTACTACAGATGGAAGAAAAAAATAATTCCATTATACCATGTGTTTTACTTAGAACTTAGTTTCATATACAACTACTATCGAACGGTAAAAATATAATTTTTTAATACGGTTGAGGTGTTGGATTTGGTTGCCAACTAGACTGTGGTGCAGGTTCAGGCTGTTGTATAACAGGAGCTTGTTCTTCTGGTTCAGGGTCTTTAGGTATAATACCAACAAACTGACCTACTCTTTTACCAATATTTTTGACTCCGTTCCAAATTCCTCTTCCTACGGTTTTTATTCCATTCCATATACCTCTTCCAACTCTTCTGAAGAAGTTTCCAATACTACTTAAGAAACCCATTTTACTATATGTAAAAATCTAATGTCCGCCTAGTCTCTTACGTTTCCTGTTGAGTTCCATAGCATTCTTTAACTGGAGCTCATACATTCTGTTTCTCCTCTGGTAGAAAACATATTCTGGGTCAACTCCTGTGTTCGCGTCATCTGCATAAAGTTGTTTATATCCCACTTCAGGGTTTGTATAAAACTCTTTCCATCTCATATTTGCATACCATGGTGGCAAACCTAACGCAGCGTCATTTGACATGGCAGTTTGCATTTGTACATCTGTTGGCACTTGACCATAGTTTGCCATTGCAGTTTGTATTCTAACTTCATTTGGAATATTCTCTGGGTTTGGTTGTCCAGGTTGCTGTGCATTCGCTAAGTTCTGTGTGCGTCCATTTAATATTAGATAAAAATATCTCTTACGAGTACATATACTGAACATTTGCAGGCATTGGTTCATCTTCATATTCTCTGTACTTTTCTGCCACGTCAAAGAAATAAATGACACAATGGAAAAAACCTAAAACAAGTAGTCCTATTTCAAACCACATTTACTTACTAATAAAATTTCTTTGTTATGACACTTTCTCCGGTTTATAGGACCTCTCTCATATTCTATCTTGTCATATCTAAACTCATAGTCATGTATGTCCTCTAACCATCTCATAACGGTTTCCAAACCACTTTTATCGGATGTAAAGTAAAAGCATGGATGGTTATGTAAAACGTCTAAAGTTTCTAAAAGTCTCTCAAAGTCCAGTCTACTTGGTATTGAAAATCCCATGTGTTATAGAACGGCGGTCCACTATAAAGAAAATATTTTCCTTGTCTTTATATTTTTCATACAACTCTGTCCAATGACATCTCACAAACTCTATACCCTCAATATATTTTTCTATGTCCTCTTTGAAAACATTTGTATAGTTAAGATATAAAACTTTTGACATAAGTGTTTCAATGTCATGAACTCTTATAGAACCACTATATAATAGTCTAGCAGATATACTATCCCAGTCTATATATTCTGCTTTTTTCAAAACCTCTCTCACAATATTTTTCTTATCTAATGGTATACGTTCCATCTTACCTATAGGTATCTTTTCTTTTAACTCTTTCAATATATTGTTTGTATCTGGTATATGTTTGAGACGGTCCATATAGTTGTCGAAGTCATTGCATATAATCTTTGAGTCTGGGAATATTGTATGACATAAATGGGATATATAGAAACTTCCACCGAACAAATCTACAAATGTTAGACCATTCGGTAGTTTCTTAAGTTCTCTCAATATAATATCTTTACATCTACTCTTATTTCCAAAGAACGGTAACGGTGGTTTTGTAAAATTCATTTATATATAATAATAAAAATGTTTTTACCTGAAAAGTGACAGAAAAGTGACAAAACATGAAAACATATATAATTTGTGAAAAGTGAAATAAAAAGTGACATTTTTAAAAGTGACATCATTAATATGATGTAAATAACAACGGTTTTGGTTTTGTCACCGGCTGGTCGGCTGGGGTTCGGTCCTCCTCTTGGGTCTTGGGCAAAATTTCTTAGGGCTAGAAGGGGCGCAGCCCCTGGAAGCCCCACTCACCTGACCTTCCCTTTTCCCAATATTAAATCGCTTGCTTAATATTGTCAATTTTTAATATGTTCAATAATTATAAAAAAATCTCATTTGAAAAAAGTGTCACTTTTATATAAAAAAATGAAAAATCAATGATGAATCAATATTAATGCAGTCATTGGATTTTTAGTCAAGTAATATGTACCCTCTTGATTTTTCCTATTAATCAATGAAAAATATCGATCAAGAAACGTGTAATGCTTCATCATCTCACAATTGGATGGGAGGACCATACACTTTTTCCCGATTGTCAGATTTTGAGATAAACTTTTTTCCGGTCCAAAATTGGGTGTTTAAGAGATCATAAAAATACTCATATAAAGAGAAAAAAAGTGTATATTTTCATTGGATGGCAAATGTTATTTGTTGAGGGTTCTTGATAGAAAATATAGATCCTCAATATTTTATGTTTAGTTGAGTTTTAGATCATAAATAAAAAATGATTAATTTCATATAAAATATATTTAATGGCTGAGTTAAATTGAAAGAAAAATTATTTCTTGAGATTGCCTTGATATGTATCAGGACTTTTGATGATGTCATTGACAAGTGACAAAAAAGTGCCAATTTGTGAATTGACAGAACTACAAATATACATATCATGAAAAGAAACAGGGTCATACGAAAGATTGCAGGGGGATCCGATTTGTAATTCATCTAATTCAGAGTCGTAACCGATAGATTTCTTTGTGTCTTCATTTCCGTTCATTAACAATTCATGACTTGTTTTCAAGTTTTCTATTAAATCTTCAGTACGATTAATTAATCCAAAACGTGACATTGTATCGTTTGGCAGACTCGAATTCATTATTATTAAATGTATCAAATTATTACCTATTTCGCTTTGCTAAAACCATTCTTTCAACAGAGTAGAAATACCACTTCAACAACATACTTGAATTTTCCGTAGATTTCATCATCGTTACACAAAGAGCGATATAACTTGCAAACAAAAGAAAAATTAATATATAAGTTACTAATATAATAACAATCAATTTGTACTGTGCAACTTTCTTTGCAACAGCACCTGTATTAGAAGAATCTATGGCGATATCGTCCATCAAAGGATTCTTCGCTTCTTCTTTGTGTTTAGGTGGCAAATTCAATAGAATTTTACAGAATTCATTGACCATTTTTCTGTAAACTAAAATGTCAGCGTTAATAGGTAAAAACGTGACAAATAAAATAACGATCAAACCGATAATTAACCACAATTTGAATTCAGGTGCGTATCTTTCTGATCTTTCTATATTGTACTGTAACAATGAATCAAAAACTTCCTTAGCGTTTTTGTTCATTCTATGGTAGTTCTTGATAACTTCGCAGTTATCTTCATCGGTGTATAAATTGTCAGGATACGTTCCTTCATTGAAATTTCCTGCTATCGTTCTCTGTTCAAAATACATGAACGATAATTGGTCGGCCAAACTAACTGTCACGTTTTGTCAGGTTTTCCATTTGAGCATTCTTGGATTGTTGAAGTGGATGACAAAAGTGAAGTGGCCACTTTGTAAACATTTACGGTTCCTGGGAGGTTAGAAACGGAATCGAGGACTAAATGTAAATAATCCGAAGATAAATTGACTAAATATAAACTTGACTTTAAATCTGTCAAATTTTTGTTAATAATTTTGGTCATGCCAAAATTTTCGTCATCGGAGATTTCTTTTTCCAAAGATAGGTCGTTGGAGTTGTAGCGGCCTGTAGCGTTGGCCCAGTTAAGCCATAGATAGTAACTGGCATAGTTTCCGTAGAAAATTGAGCCTCCGCTGTACATTAAATCTTCATATGCGTTTCTTCTCCAGCTTAGCTTCTGTTTGGAGTAAACATAGAAGTATATGATGAAGAAGCTATGTATAGCAAATGAAAATACCGCAAAAATAGCAATGTAACTCGAATGTACTGGTTTCAGATGGGAAAGTGTATGGTTTAAAGCCAATCTGACTCTTGACTCTTTAAGTATACGACTTCCTATCATCTCTTCGCTCTCTACATCGATATCTTCTCTGTTATTAATCTGATCATATTTCGGTACTGAGTTTTTACCGGAATTATTATTCGCAGGGTTAAGTATTGAGTCCATAACTTCTTGTTGAGTACCGATATTTATCAAATCTGCCATACTTTGCCTTCTTTGGAGCTTATTTTGATTTGATGACGAAGTATTATCGGAAATTGTCTTTCTTCCCTTAGTATCGAACAGCCCGTCCTTCAAGTATCTCGGAACTTTTGAATAAGAGACCTATACGATATGTCTATATTGAAATCTCTTCCATCCAAAATTTGATCGGCTCGCATTGTTTGGATAATTGCGCCATCTTAGTCGCAAAGACATTCTACGAGGAAGTTCGTGTATTCTGTAGTGATTTTTATGTTATTTGGATTGGATTCGAGGAAATATTGAAAATATCTGTTCAATTTCTTAGTTCTATACGACAACATCTCAACAAAACTATGTCCTGCGTTTGGTTTATCCCAAAAAGACCTGATTGTGGCCTTAACTTCTTCATTTAACGTATGTAATTTGTTATATAAATCTGTAGTGTCTTTTGTGTTGGAAGTTAAGCGACGAGTCTTGATCTTTGAGATCTGGTAGATAAGAAATCGATTAATAAATGTAAGTTTTCGCATACTTATAAGTCTTTTGTATAAAATTGATAATTTTTGGGATTCTGAAGGGAAATAAGTCACGATTTGCAGTAGTAATGCTAAGATACCTTCAGTTTCGACGTGGTTAATGATATATTCCGTAATACTTCCGTCAACAAAATAATCACATAATTCGGACAATCCTATGACAATGAACCTCGTAGCCCAGAGGGAGTTCTTGCAGATACCAAGTTCATCGAAATACTCCGTTTTGTTTGTAATGTCGTCGTCGTATGTTAACTGTTCTTTAGTTTTTTTCACTAATTGGCCGAAGACAATCTGTCCTACAGGATGAGCGAGAATTGTAACGACCAATAAAATTATTATCGTATAATTGTACGTACTTTTGTTGAAAATGTAGAGATAAATCAAATTTAAATCTAAAACGATAGTTATCATGCCAAATTGAAAACAAATGGGATTTCGCCATAGTGTATAGAAAGGTATGAACATTATACGATAACAAACGAAAAATGAACAGCAAATGTGGATCAAAATTATAAATAAATAAAACCAGCCATCGTAAATGACAAATAACCAGGAAACAAGACAGCAAAGCGATGTAATTGAAAACCAGGATAGAATTGTGGTCGTATCGTAGCATTGAAAAGTGAGATTTGTAAAAATGACCGAACGAGATTTTAAAAGAATGCCAATCGTAAAGAAGAATAATGAGCTTGTAAAGGAGATAAGTCCTAATACAATTTCTGTTGTAAATGCCCCATCACTTTTGTAATGTAATCCGGCAATTCCATGAGCAGCGCAATAAGCGGAGGGAACTATGAATATGGGAGTTATTAAATCGAGAATGAATACCGAAATGTAAAGAAGAATGGGCGGAATCATGAAAAAAGAGCGGTTATATAAAATCATTGCTATTAACCAACCGATTGATAAAAGAGTTACTATAAAACATACATATGAATTAATAAGGTGTGTGGATTCAAAGTCTAAAGGATTCTGGAATGCTGTTAATCGGAGAACCCATTCATAAACACTTCTCCATTTGCCTGTACACCTTTGAAACGGAGGTGAATAGACCCAAAAACCTATTACAAGTACTTGAAATGAAATAAATACATCGCAAGCAGTGGAAAAAAGATTTGGCAATTTTACGTGTTGCATAATTTGATCATAGAGTGGAAAAACGCGGTCAATGTAATGAGATCGACCAGTCACAAGGTTGTTTACATGAGTCTCTGCAACCAAATCTTTTACGCTGTTTTTGGATCCATCAGTAGAGTTCATTGAAAAAAAATTGATATGGATTCGAATTTTATTTAAAAATATTTTTGGTTTATATAATAGAAGAAGAGTTTTCGTTGCATCGTTAAAAAAATTGTGAAGCAATTTTAGAATATTTGAAATGCAATTTTGTTGGTATCTCAAAATTTTCAAAGAATACCTGTACCTGACCAATTCATCAAAATCGCATTATGTATTATAATAATGGTATAATTTTTAAGTTGGTAGCGGTTTGGAAATTTAATTTTATCGCTAATAAAAATTCGACTTCATATTATTAATGTAAAATACACCATCCAAAGTTTCCAAGAAATACGTTAGAAAGAAAATTTTTTAGATATCGTAATATATTCAGTAATATAACATTATAGCAATGAAATTGATTTGAAACAACTTTCAATTTTTCGTCGTTATAAAATTTAAATGTCATTCGGAAATTTAAATATTGATTCGATGATAATTTAGACAATAGTCATTAATAGAAGTATTCAATTTTTCACTAACCTCGTAAACTTTTGATATCTCACGGTTTGTACGTTTACCCAATTACGATGATACCTGGAAATGAAGGGTAATTGGGGCGTAAGGTACAGTCCAGACTGAAATAAGGGATTCTTTTCGATTGGTTATTTGATAATAAATGGGAAGCTTTATGGAATCAACCTTCCCAGATTGGTTCTGAGTGATGATTTTTCTCTGGCCAAACATTGTGTATCGTCCAAACGATTTTTAGATTCACCTTTACAGAGCGAATATAGGTTATTTTAAAAAAACCTTGATCATTTTGAATTGGAAAATAGCACAAATTTAATTGGTGTAGATATTGCAATCTCATTGAGTCTTAGCATTGAATGATTTTGTATTAATTTATTAATCGAAGGGAAGTTAAAGTGTTTGAGTAAATAGTTAGAAACGCATATGCTTGGAAATAGAATTTCGGCTCCGTTCAATATAATAATACTGTTTTCCGCTTTACGGCTAGTAGAAATATTCGTGACACTTTCAAACATATGATGATGAGACTTTAAAACCCTTAAATATCTTTCGTATCTTGTTTTAATAAAGAATTATCTCAATTATCTCAATTGAAATAGATCCTTTTATCTCCTTAAAAAGATTTATAAGTATAAAGAAGGTAAGGAAATTATTGGGTCATTCCAAGAAGTTTCAGAAGAGTTAAAAGAAAAGTTTGAACTTTTTCATCAATCTCACCAACACTCACGTCTTCAATCACCAAGTTTTGCACAGTGGAATCTTAAGCATGGCTTTTTTGCTGATGACAAATTTGGATTCATTTAATTTTTATTCGATATTTCATAATTGTTATAGAGTTAAAATCATAAATTGTTTTGTATCATCTATTATATAACTATCTATCTATGTTTTTATTTATTGTATTATAGATAATATATAGATTTTTAAGTTTTATCATTCGTGTGATTTTTATAAAAATTAATTTATTTGCACTTTTTCAATTCGTCCTCACAATTTTTGAATGCTCAGAAAATAAAATGCAAAAATTTTATTGAAAAGGTGCATAATGAATGACATTATATTTGCACTTTTTCAATTCGTCCTCACAATTTTTGAATGCTCAGAAAATAAAATGCAAAAATTTTATTGAAAAAGTGCATAATGAATGACATTATATTTGCACTTTTTCAATTCGTCCTCACAATTTTTGAATGCTCAGAAAATAAAATGCAAAAATTTTATTGAAAAAGTGCATAATGAATGACATTATATTTGCACTGTTTCTGATTTCATCAGAAAAAAGTGCAAATATAATGATAATATATTTATATTATAAAATAACATAAAATTGAAAAAATGTGAAGGGACTTTAGCTCACCTGGGAGAGCGTGCGACTGAAGATCGCAAGGTACGTGGTTCAAGTCCGCGAAGTCCCATTATTATTTTTTGTTTTTATTTTTCTTTTCCTTTTTCTCCCTTTGAATTTTCAATATCATCCTCAATTTTTTTAATGAGAAACTTCAATTTTTAATATTGTTATATTTAATATTACAGAAGTTATTTTTGTAAAATTCGCTATCGTGAGATTTATCGTCAAAAGTGTTATATCTATCTCTACAAAAACAGCTTTCATTCCTAATTGCAATTCGTTGTTTTTATCTTTCAAGACTGCGTGCTGATAATAAAAAGGTGTTATTGACTGATTTCAACAAATGCTTTATTTATTATTCATGAGAAACGTTCAACGCTGAATAATTTAACAAGTACTTTTTCGAAAGAATAATGTTTCCATTCCAGTTTTATTTGTTTGCATGAATCCATGTTCCAATTTAGCTATTATTCATTTATTACTCAAAAAGATTAATTTTAATTACAAACAACAGATGTTTCAAAAACAGCTTTGTCATTCATTAATCATTTTATTTACTATATATCTTCGAATGATTCAATTTATTTTTTGCAACAAAGATCGAGAAAGATTTAGTTAATCCACTTTTACTAACTTAGACACATTGTAGTATTCGAATATATACAGATTGTAGTTCTTGTTATCCATTGAATAGAAAGTGAATAAATTGCGATGTATACAAACAAATCCAAAATTAATAAAAAATAATAATGGGACTTCGCGGACTTGAACCACGTACCTTGCGATCTTCAGTCGCACGCTCTCCCAGGTGAGCTAAAGTCCCTTCTCAATTTAGCCTTCAAAAATCATTTTGTATATGATAAAATGAAGTTTTTCGAGTCAGTTGCGATTTTGAAGAATAATCGAATAAAACAAAGCAGTTTATATACTTTATTATCTATTATATTTCAACTTCAAACTATCATACATTGCTTTTTAATCTCAAATCCAACTCACTTTGAAATGCAAATCGGTTTCAAAAACATAAATAAATAATAACATTTTATTCTTACCAAAATTGCAGACCAATCAAGCCCATATGGATATCCATCAATGAGAATGGAGCTCTATTTAATTTAGTTTTAACGATTTTATTTCCATATATGTTTGTTTTTAATGCATCACATTCACCTAATGCAACTTGTGAAAAAACAATATTAAACCATTCAGTTGTCGGTTCATCTGTGGTTATCGAATTTTCTCCCCAATAGGTACCCACACTGTAATTGTCCACATAGCAGTGGATAATTCTCGTTTTAGATAAATAACCATTTGAAAAAGTTTTAGCTGCATTATTTTCCAAGAAAATGCATTCTAACACTGTTGTATCTGATCTTGAAGAGTAGCAAACACTATTGCATGTGCTATTTTTGAATATCGACTGTTTGACAATAGCATCGAAGTTGGCACCATGGTATATTAATGAACTATAGTGGTAATGGTCATAATTTGAATTAATACAACAATAGCTCACATTAACAGGGTCGTTAGAAAAGCTATATCCGGAACAATCGAAACAAATTATTCTGGTAATATTTGTAGAAATTAATGTTTTTTGTCCATCATAATGATATATACTGGATGTGCCAGTGTCGCCATAGCCACATTGGTTGATAGAACTCAAGTTAATAAAATTTTTGTTATTAAAATGCTTAACATTTGTAAAAGAATGCATTCCTTCATAGGGTGCGAAGCATGTTATTGTACAAAATCGATCTTGAACAATGGAACTATTGCATTGAAAGTAGATGGAACCTCCGTAACTAAAATTTTTTGTAATGTTAATGTATGTGCATTTTGAATGTAATAATTTAACGTAGTTAGTAGTGCAGTTAATAGCAGAATTTGAAATATCATGAAATTTCGAATCAAGTAAAAAGAAATTTTTATTTATAAGAAGAGCCGAATTATTTGTGATTGTATTAGGTGTTTCCGATGGAAGTCCATAGTAATCTATCCAAATATCATTTGAAACGGATGCTTTGTTGAAGACAAGGAATAGCATAAACTGTGAAAAAAGATTTGACAGTTGTCAAATAAGAACTCTCACAATTCTTTTTATTCAGATTTCACAAGGAATAGTATTATTATTAGTGGACTTTTTTTCAACTATCCTTTTTTGAATGTTACTCAAAATGTGTGGTAATTCTAAGAATTATGGATAACCTTACAAATTTTATCTGAATCTTTTTTTAGTTTATCGAATAAATCTATTGTAATAGTGTATTGAATGTAGTTGCACCCATATAAAAATTACAAAGATAAACCATAATTTCATCGATAATTTTTGAAAAAATTTGAGAGGTTAACCGAAATGTGTGTGAAAACATCGTTATATAGGAAAAACATTATTATTAAATAAATAATGGAATAAATTTTAAATAAATTAATTTCAATTATCTCATTATTATAATCTTTGAAAATTTGAAGACATAATTGAAAAAGTGGTTGTTGTATCGTTAAAAAATATGATTAACGTTAACCTTTAACATTAAGAATATAACACAAACAGCATGAATACTCATGGAATATCTTTCAATTTGTTCGAAATGAAAATAATTAAAATATTATTTAAACTTGATCAATTAATAATCTATCAAACTATATGTTTTAAACTATGAAAATCAAGATTAAAGTGATTATGCGTGATAATATTTATTAGATAAAATTTCCATTCTGGAAAATGGGATTAAGAATAGACTAACCATAACTTAAAGTATATAAATTGTTTTATTTGATTCGATGATACAGCTTGATGTAGTGATTGTTGATGAAAAATCATATGTTTAGAAGATCTTTTTTTTTTCAATAAAGATCATTTTCTTATTTATTTATTTTGTATGGTTCATATATGATATTGTGACTAACATGTGATTATATGATCGAAATATTCACAATATTAATGATTATTATTAAAAATTAAATAAAAAATGAAATCAATTAGAATTGTTTTGTTAAAACATGTTTTATATATGTTTATTGTTTATGTTTTCTTTAACATGATACATTACATGAAATAATAAGAGACAAGATTCTGAACAAATTTGTCGAAATTTCAATTTTTTATAAAAAAAACTTCAATATGTTAAACCATTATTTACTCATATCAATTTTAATGTTGATTATAATAATTACGATTTTTCACTTTTTTTTTCAAAAATGAATTAGAAAAACTTGATTTTCTCATACACAAGATCGACTATGAATAGTGAATTGTGAAGGGACTTTAGCTCACCTGGGAGAGCGTGCGACTGAAGATCGCAAGGTACGTGGTTCAAGTCCGCGAAGTCCCATTATTATTTTTTGTTTTTATTTTTTGCTCGAAACAAAATTTTTAACCTTATTCATCACAATTTTCAAATTAAAGAATTAAGAAAACAATTCTTTAGATAAAGCAAGGAGATTTTATGATAAATGTTGGCAAGACCATTTTGATTATAATATATTAAGGCTGCACTTACGCCCATCTGACTTTAATTCAAATTTTTGACAAATGGCATGAAGCACCATTGAAATTTAACCTTAAACATCTATATTTAAGGCCCTGTCATAGGGGCGTAAGTGCACCCTTAAAAATACATTAAAAAATTCTTTTACATAACTTGATCAACTTCAATTCTCTATATCACTGACAACCATTATATCATACAGAAAGTAAATATTGTTGGGGAAAATCTATCAGAATTTCTCAAATTGGATGTTGTTAACCAAAGTGATATCATTTCTCATCATCCTGAAGCTGACTATATTGAATTTCATTCAAAATTAAGCAGCTCAAGATTGTCTGTGAAGAGAAATCAATGTTTGTATATAATCAACATAAAAACCCAATATCTGAATGACTTTCTCCAAATGTACTAAAAGATTGTTATTGAAGCACGGACAGTTACAATCTTGTATTGTTAAATTCGACATAAGATTGATTTCAAGATGCGATGACATGCCGAAACCAAATCTCATGTACTTTTTCATGATATACCAGCACAATTCATTTGGATGGAAAATTATTGAATATCTTTTAATGGGATGAAGGACTGGTAACACGCCAATAGTATAAAACTCAAAGTTTGAATGGATATTAAGAGATATATCCACAGATGGTCTACTACTTTATCAGGAGTGCATAAATTTTGTTCTACGATAAAGAGATCTCCAATGAAGAGCAAGTTCTATCCAATTAAAATAAGAGTATATTGAAGCAGGACTAAATAAGGTAGAAGTCTCCTTGATCAGGCACTTATCTTACAGTAAGGCATTGATGCAGTTTCCATTTACTCATTTGTCAATATGGAATCAAAAATTCGATCAAAGTGCTTTAGATTTGGGAGCGATATATAGTTGGAGCCATTGCTTGACCGTGCAATATTGAAGTGTGAAGTAGCCAATGCACTCCTGAAACATATAATTATTCTTCCCAGTTGTAACTCTTTTATCCATAAGCTCTCATGTGCAAAGCTGATTAAGATTTCTGTTAATTACCATGACTACCATCTGCCGGCTCATCTTGGAAGTATAATTTCCAATAAAGTTGTTAATATCTGAATTGTCCTCGTTCATGGTAAATAAATATCCATGGGATTTATCATTAATCAGAGCAATATACGTTTTATCGCTAGTCATCTTAAATATATCTTTATTTAGTACCATTGGGGAAGTGCATTCAAATCTCTGGTTGTTCTGAGTGCTAGTTACAACCATTGAATTTTTTCATAGACAATCTTCAATTTGAAATCTTTAACTTCTTTCATTGCGCATGCGGAAATGCAGTAATTTATCACTCCATATAACTGTTTCCCAGTTGAGAAATTCTAATTGATCTTCACCAACAGCATTCTCTTTCAGGAGTTTAAATTTCATATAATGTAGAGTAGTTTACATTTCTGACTCCTTTTCGTATCTTTCTATCAGCTCTCTACAATGTTTTTATGTTGATTATATACAAACATTGATTTCTCTTCACAGACAATCTTGAGCTGCTTAATTTTGAATGAAATTCAATATAGTCAGCTTCAGGATGATGAGAAATGATATCACTTTGGTTAACAACATCCAATTTGAGAAATTCTGATAGATTTTCCCCAACAATATTTACTTTCTGTATGATATAATGGTTGTCAGTGATATAGAGAATTGAAGTTGATCAAGTTATGTAAAAGAATTTTTTAATGTATTTTTAAGGGTGCACTTACGCCCCTATGACAGGGCCTTAAATATAGATGTTTAAGGTTAAATTTCAATGGTGCTTCATGCCATTTGTCAAAAATTTGAATTAAAGTCAGATGGGCGTAAGTGCAGCCTTAATATATTATAATCAAAATGGTCTTGCCAACATTTATCATAAAATCTCCTTGCTTTATCTAAAGAATTGTTTTCTTAATTCTTTAATTTGAAAATTGTGATGAATAAGGTTAAAAATTTTGTTTCGAGCAAAAAATAAAAACAAAAAATAATAATGGGACTTCGCGGACTTGAACCACGTACCTTGCGATCTTCAGTCGCACGCTCTCCCAGGTGAGCTAAAGTCCCTTCACAATTCACTATTCATAGTCGATCTTGTGTATGAGAAAATCAAGTTTTTCTAATTCATTTTTGAAAAAAAAAGTGAAAAATCGTAATTATTATAATCAACATTAAAATTGATATGAGTAAATAATGGTTTAACATATTGAAGTATTTTTTTATAAAAAATTGAAATTTCGACAAATTTGTTCAGAATCTTGTCTCTTATTATTTCATGTAATGTATCATGTTAAAGAAAACATAAACAATAAACATATATAAAACATGTTTTAACAAAACAATTCTAATTGATTTCATTTTTTATTTAATTTTTAATAATAATCATTAATATTGTGAATATTTCGATCATATAATCACATGTTAGTCACAATATCATATATGAACCATACAAAATAAATAAATAAGAAAATGATCTTTATTGAAATAAGATCTTCTAAACATATGATTTTTCATCAACAATCACTACATCAAGCTGTATCATCGAATCAAATAAAACAATTTATATACTTTAAGTTATGGTTAGTCTATTCTTAATCCCATTTTCCAGAATGGAAATTTTATCTAATAAATATTATCACGCATAATCACTTTAATCTTGATTTTCATAGTTTAAAACATATAGTTTGATAGATTATTAATTGATCAAGTTTAAATAATATTTTAATTATTTTCATTTCGAACAAATTGAAAGATATTCCATGAGTATTCATACTGTTTGTGTTATATTCTTAATGTTAAAGGTTAACGTTAATCATATTTTTTAACGATACAACAACCACTTTTTCAATTATGTCTTCAAATTTTCAAAGATTATAATAATGAGATAATTGAAATTAATTTATTTAAAATTTATTCCATTATTTATTTAATAATAATGTTTTTCCTATATAACGATGTTTTCACACACATTTCGGTTAACCTCTCAAATTTTTTCAAAAATTATCGATGAAATTATGGTTTATCTTTGTAATTTTTATATGGGTGCAACTACATTCAATACACTATTACAATAGATTTATTCGATAAACTAAAAAAAGATTCAGATAAAATTTGTAAGGTTATCCATAATTCTTAGAATTACCACACATTTTGAGTAACATTCAAAAAAGGATAGTTGAAAAAAAGTCCACTAATAATAATACTATTCCTTGTGAAATCTGAATAAAAAGAATTGTGAGAGTTCTTATTTGACAACTGTCAAATCTTTTTTCACAGTTTATGCTATTCCTTGTCTTCAACAAAGCATCCGTTTCAAATGATATTTGGATAGATTACTATGGACTTCCATCGGAAACACCTAATACAATCACAAATAATTCGGCTCTTCTTATAAATAAAAATTTCTTTTTACTTGATTCGAAATTTCATGATATTTCAAATTCTGCTATTAACTGCACTACTAACTACGTTAAATTATTACATTCAAAATGCACATACATTAACATTACAAAAAATTTTAGTTACGGAGGTTCCATCTACTTTCAATGCAATAGTTCCATTGTTCAAGATCGATTTTGTGCTATAAAATGCTTCGCACGTTCTGGAGGAATGCATTCGTTTACAAATGTTAATGATGCTAAGAATAAAAATTTTGTTAACTTGAGTTCAATCAACGAATGTGGCCGAAATAATACTGGTACATCCAGCATATATCATAATTATGGAGAAAAAACACTAATTTCCACAAATATTACTAGAACAATTTGTTACGGAAGTGCCGGATATAGTTTTTATTATAAGCCAGTTAATGTGAGCTATTGTTGTTTTAATTCAAATGATAATCATTACGAATATCGGATATGTATGGAACATTGTCAAAACTTTGATGCTATTGTCAAAAGGTCATTATTCAAAAACAATACATGCCATGTGAGTTGGAGTTCATATTGTGGTGTTATTACTTGCATTGTGTCCGATTTAACTGTAATAGAATGTATTTTTTTAGAAAACACTGCGCATAATACTATCGGTAGTGGTTATTTATCTAAAACGAGAATTATCCACTGCTATGTGGACAATTACAGTGTGGGTACCTATTGGGGAGAAAATTCGATAACCACAGATGAACCGACAACTGAATGGTTTAATATTGTTTTTTCACAAGTTGCATTAGGTGAATGTGATGCATTAAAAACAAACATATATGGAAATAAAATCGTTAAAACTAAATTAAATAGAGCTCCATTCTCATTGATGGATATCCATATGGGCTTGATTGGTCTACAATTTTGGTAAGAATAAAGTTTTATTATTTATTTATGTTTTTGAGAAGAATAGCAATGTATGTGAGTGCAAAATTGAAATATAATAGATATAAAAGTACAATAATAGTTTTGTTTTATTCGAGAATGTATCTTGATGTACTGATGGTTGATGAAAAATCATATGTTTAGAAGATCTTATTTCAATAAAGATCATTTTCTTATTTATTTATTTTGTATGGTTCATATATGATATTGTGACTAACATGTGATTATATGATCGAAATATTCACAATATTAATGATTATTATTAAAAATTAAATAAAAAATGAAATCAATTAGAATTGTTTTGTTAAAACATGTTTTATATATGTTTATTGTTTATGTTTTCTTTAACATGATACATTACATGAAATAATAAGAGACAAGATTCTGAACAAATTTGTCGAAATTTCAATTTTTTATAAAAAAATACTTCAATATGTTAAACCATTATTTACTCATATCAATTTTAATGTTGATTATAATAATTACGATTTTTCACTTTTTTTTTCAAAAATGAATTAGAAAAACTTGATTTTCTCATACACAAGATCGACTATGAATAGTGAATTGTGAAGGGACTTTAGCTCACCTGGGAGAGCGTGCGACTGAAGATCGCAAGGTACGTGGTTCAAGTCCGCGAAGTCCCATTATTATTTTTTATTAATTTTGGATTTGTTTGTATACATCGCAATTTATTCACTTTCTATTCAATGGATAACAAGAACTACAATCTGTATATATATTCGAATACTACAATGTGTCTAAGTTAGTAAAAGTGGATTAACTAAATCTTTCTCGATCTTTGTTGCAAAAAATAAATTGAATCATTCGAAGATATATAGTAAATAAAATGATTAATGAATGACAAAGCTGTTTTTGAAATATCTGTTGTTTGTAATTAAAATTAATCTTTTTGAGTAATAAATGAATAATAGCTAAATTGGAACATGGATTCATGCAAACAAATAAAACTGGAATGGAAACATTATTCTTTCGAAAAAGTACTTGTTAAATTATTCAGCGTTGAACGTTTCTCATGAATAATAAATAAAGCATTTGTTGAAATCAGTCAATAACACCTTTTTATTATCAGCACGCAGTCTTGAAAGATAAAAACAACGAATTGCAATTAGGAATGAAAGCTGTTTTTGTAGAGATAGATATAACACTTTTGACGATAAATCTCACGATAGCGAATTTTACAAAAATAACTTCTGTAATATTAAATATAACAATATTAAAAATTGAAGTTTCTCATTAAAAAAATTGAGGATGATATTGAAAATTCAAAGGGAGAAAAAGGAAAAGAAAAATAAAAACAAAAAATAATAATGGGACTTCGCGGACTTGAACCACGTACCTTGCGATCTTCAGTCGCACGCTCTCCCAGGTGAGCTAAAGTCCCTTCACATTTTTTCAATTTTATGTTATTTTATAATATGAAAAAAATGATTTTTATAAAAATCAGAAGAATGATAAAACTTAAAAATCTATATATTATCTATAATACAATAAATAAAAACATAGATAGATAGTTATATAAAAGATGATACAAAACAATTTATGATTATGAAATATCAAATAATAATTAAATGAAGCCAAATTTGTCATCAGCAAAAAAGCCATGCTTAAGATTCCACTGTGCAAAGCTTGGTGATTGAAGACGTGAACGTTGGTGAGATTGATGAAAAAGTTCAAACTTTTCTTTCAACTCTTCTGAAACTTCTTGGAACGACTCAATAATTTCCTTACCTTCTTTATATTTATACATCTTTTTAAGGAGATAAAGTGATGATGCTGAAAGAATTCTAGCATCCCTTGCTTTGTATGCTGTTATCAAGTTTGGTATATAAAAAGTAATAATCTTGGAGAGATGTTCTGTAGAAAGGAGTGGTTTGATGAAATTAATCACAATTTGGTGCAAAGAAGTGTGTAATGGAAATCTCTGCATGCATTCCCACAACTTCTTGTATATATCGTTGTTTTCTAGTATCTCAATCATTTGTTTATCTATTTCTATTAATTTTGAAAGAAATAAAATAGAATTTACTTGATATTCTGAGAATCTATCGCATTCAAAGCATATATTATTGATTGCATCATCAACATTATCTCGAAAATAATCTATTGTCGTGGAATTAAGCAAAGATAGAAATGATGACCATTGTTGGTTCAATATATGTATATAATCCGGATGAAATTTTGCAGTAATTGTATTAAGTGATCTTTCAGTGGTAAATCTAAGTTTTAAATATTCATTTTGACTTAAAATGCAAATTATTCTATATAAGCCTGATATTTTCTCAACGAGAGTGATATTCGAGGCTGTATATAGTTGTGTGATATGATTAGCTAATAATGACAGAATTGTCGCAGAAATATTTACAGATTGAAGAAAACGCGTGTAAACACGAGTTAGAGTCGCATCACGCGCAAGCGAAGTAAATAGATCTAAAATATCTTCGTTATCGCTAAAATTAAGAAGCTCAGGGATGAATGGAAAAAAAAGTTGCAAATTATGTTGATTTAACCGCACATTATTTTCGATAATTGTAGCTATTCTGTGTATTAGAATCCTACTCTGGGTTGTATTCAGTATATTATGCATTATTTCAAAAATATCGTCATTTATCAGTCTAATTGTCAATAATATTCGAAATGCACGTACGTTAATGATATCTATTTTGTCATTAAATGTTAAATCTATGATTTCTTCTTGATGATTCTTAAAACTGGTTGTTAGAAAATAAAATAAACTAATTAACGAATGCTGAGTCATGTAATCTTATAGATTTATCAATCCGAGGGTCTGAAAGGACATCTAAGAAAGAAAGTTCAGGATTTGAAAATAGACTTCGCCGCGGGGAATTTCCCACAGACATTTGATTTTTTCCCGCGCTTCAAATACCAATTTTTACAATATATTAGGCCATTGTGGATTTATTATCTATATAACAAAAACTAAAGGAATAATTTGGAATTTTGACCTTATTCGAGTTAATTAAAATAACGAATGAATAAATATCAATTCTAGATAAAAATACCAAAAGATATAAGATTCTATGATCTAAGATGTTCGAATTTACAATGTTATTCAAATAAAAATTAACTAAAACTATGTGATTTCTAAAATCAAGATGAAAGTCGTTGTCGAAAGAAGTAAGAAAGCTGTCTAATGTTTTGTCATATTCAATTGAGACTGAATATTTCATTAAATCTATAACTTCCCATTGAAAAAATAAAAAATTAAAGATTATTTTTAAATTATTATGAAATAAGATATATTTACAATATAATACCGATTTTTTATAAGTCAAACAATTAAATGTTGTTTATCCAAAGTCTGTTTCAAGTCTTTTCTGGAGTTCGTACCTAAACTCAATGACTTTCTGGTGTTTTCTGTAATAACAGTAAATTCCTACAACTATGGCCACGGACAAGACTAATATGACAGGAATTGTGATTGATGCAATTATTAGAGGTGAAAGTGTAGGATGGAGCTGCGGAGTCTTGCATTTCGTCATTAGTTTCTTTGAAAATTCCAATGTTTCAAAGGAAACATGATCTTTATCTGTTGGATATTGGCAATTATGGAAATACTTCTCATGTTTATCAGGAACAGAGGAGTGATCAAATACACAGTCTATGAAATCAAAATAATACTCAGCATTCATATATGGAAAATCAGGAACAAAAAAATCGTATTTCAAGCCTATTTCAATGAGTTTTCCATAAGTAACCCATATGAAATTGACTGATTCAGCTGTAACATTACGAAAACTGTAAAGGAAAGTGTTTTGCATAATTATTCTTGATCCTGGTTCTCTTATAGATAGATTTTCAAAGTTAGAATATGATAGCCGTTCATTAGAGATGTAGCATGTGGTTTTAATAAAGTAACCTTGAGTATAATTTAATCCATAAATATTATTTTGAGTTCCAAGCGGGCCATTGATAGAGAATCCCGCATTGACGTCATTGATATATTCTTCTGGGCTTGTCGATAACGAAGAAGCGTTAAAGGATGTCTTATTAACATATCCGCCTAAATAAAAGACAGAAGATTCATTTCCTATGCATTTCATGCAGCAAATCTTAGTTATGTCAGCATTTCCCACGAAATTAGCAGCGTTAATTGCTGCAGGAGAATCTGGAGAAAAGAGATTATAAAATGTACATGATTCAACGTTCAAATAAGGTATTTGAGTTAAATGTAGATAATTTGAGTTCTGAACTATGATCGCGGCACTATCTTTCGACCCCTTACCGATATCTTTGAAAATACAGTTTGAAATTTCAAGAGTTCCTGTTACTTGTGGGAAACGCTTTGTTTCGGAGATTGTTTGTTTGACAGTTTTATTTGAAAGAACCATAAAACTGCATTCCGTAAGATCAAAGTTCGGAATTGGAAGATCTTCAGTAAAAGTTTGATAAATATTGAATTTTGTATCATTATTTGTATAGATTATTGGTTCTGGGTCTGTTTTGATCAGAGTAATATTAAAATCAGGTTTATGAGCAGTAAATTGAAAACTACATCTTGTCATGTACTTAATCGTTGATTTTACAGCCGCCAGTTGTAAGTCAATAAAGAGGCAATCTGTAAATGTATGGTGGAAGAATCCTAAATACTTTGTATCAACGGATTTAAAATAAGAAAAAGTGAAGAGTTGATAAATCCCGAGTTGTCTCTTTTAAAAACAGACAAAGATTTGACTTAACATCTGTAAGATTTAAGTTAGTGTATGTTGTATTTCTTATTTCAAATAAATTGTTAGATCCACCAAACCCTGCTGCAATGGAAAGATTTATTTGTCCTTTGTAGGTTTCTTTGGTGTACATGGCACTTCCATAATCAGCGAAACAATTGATAAAACACGTTTGATTTTATTTTGAGGTTATGAAAACTCTTCTTCAGAATTTTTGTGAAGTCTTTTTGAAAAATAAAAATGCTAGATCACTTTCTTTATATTGAGATCATTGAGCAATTGTAATTTTTTAAAGTATTTTATAATAAAAAACCAAACTATTCATATTATGTGAGGATATAATGAGTAATTAAAAGAGAAAAATCTGAAAATTTTATAAAATCGGCATTTAAATTAAAATAAATAATAGTATTATAAGTTTCTGGTAATATAAAGAGCAGAAAAGATGAGAGCGAGAGTAGCGACGGTAAGATAAATAAATAAGAATGCGTAAATTGGTGAAACTCCAATGTATTCAAAAACAGCTTTAGATTGTTTCTGGTTGATGTATGGGAAGTTGCCACCAAAGAGTGGATCGCTGATATCTTCGTATGTAACATCAGTTTTATATGTATCATTGATTGAATCAGAGCAGTTACTATCGTAAACACCGTCAAGTCTGTCATATCGGCGTGAATCTAAGCGAGAATCATGTGTATCTTGGCACATCTCGTGCTCGAAGTGTGGATAATCGTAGTATGATCCATAAGTAAATTTATCAGTAACATAAACAGTTAAATCTGTTCTGATCGGGAACTGCAAGTTAAGCATTGGAACTCCTTCAAGGCAGACACTCATTACGTATGGATTGTATGTAACGTTGTCTTGTAAATCATAAACAACTTCTGGGATAACTAATGTGTTTACGCCAGAGAAAAGAGTGAATCCACCTTCATTTCTCTCACGTTTAACTGTTCTGAAACGGAAAGCATGTGGCATAACTTCACGAACTTTCTCCGAAACAGTGAATTTGTAATATGTATCTCCGAATGTGAACAAAAGATTTCCTGGTCCTTTGTAGTAGAAACAGTTGTTGTCAACATCAAACAATGGATGACCGCCTGTTTCGAATGAGAATGTGACATTCTTGCAGTTATCGAAAGCAGACTGTTCAATGGATCTTACACTGTTTGGAATCTGGATGTTCTTGACACCACTGTTTGCAAATGCTTCGTCGCCAATTCTAACTAACTTAGAGTTCAATGTAACTTATGTCAATTTCTTGCAAAGAGAAAATGCCTGCTGTTCAATTGAGATGACATTAGCTGGAACTGTGAATGATTCTATTGATGACATGAAGAATGCATTCTTTGAAATGAGTTTCAGATTGTCACCAAATGTGAATGTTGTTTGTCCTGAGCAATGATAGAATGTGAACTCATTCAAAATACCAATCTTTGTGCAATCAACTTTACTCAATTTTTGGCAGTCAACGAAACATCCTTTGCCAATCTTTTCGAATGAGTTTGACTCTTCAAGGCTGTTCAAGAAAAAATAAACGATATCTATCTCGAATATGCAAAACAGTACAACATTGACGAAGCGAGAGTACCATCTCGATATTATATATGACAGGAAAAAATGCAACTGTTAAAATCAATAGAATAGAAGACCTGGAGAAGACGTTTATATTTCTACAAAATATAACAACTTGGCATGGTATATAGATTTTTTGAGGATGTTAAATCAGCCTGCAGAATATCCAGTACACCCGAACTTTTATGAAGTCGAAAACCCTAATGGAACATATGAAAATGTTTTCGACTCAGATGCTATTAAGTTTCATAGCTTCATTTTCTGGTGCACAAAACTCTTTTTTATGCTTGGCAAATGGACTTTTACGCAAAAACCTACAAAGCTTACGAACCACAAGTGAGAGTATTCAGACTTTCAAGTATGGTTTACTACAGATGGAAGAAAAAGAATAATTCCATTATACCATGCGTTGTTACTTAGAACTTAGTTTCATTATACAACTACTATCGAACGGAAAAATATAATTTTAATACGGTGAGTGTTGGATTTGCGTGCCAACTTGACTGTGGTGCAGGTTTCAGGCTGTTGATAAACAGGAGCTTTCTCTTCTGTGTTCAGGGTCTTTAGGTATAATACAACGAACTGACCTACCTTTTGCCCAATTTTTTGACTCCGTTCCAAATTCCTCTTCCGACGGTTTTTATTCCATTCCATATACCTCTTCCAACATTTCGAAAGAAGTTTCCAATTACTACTGAAGAACCCATTCTTACTATATGTAAAAGATCTAATGTCCGCCTAGTCTCTTACGTTTCCTGTTGAGTTCCTAGCATTCTTTAACTGGAGCTCATACATTCTGTTTTCTCCTCTGGTAGAAAAAATATTCTGGGTCAACTCCTGTGTTCGCGTCATCTGCATAAAGTTGTTTATATCCACTTCAGGGTTTTGTATAAAAACTCTTTCCATTCATAATTTGCATACCATGCGTGGGCAAACCTAACGCAGCGTCATTTGACATGGCAGTTTGCATTTGTACATCTGTTGGCACTTGACCATAGTTTGCCATTGCATGTTTGTATTCTAACTTCATTTGGAATATTCTCTGGGTTTGGTTGTCCAGGTTGCTGTGCATTCGCTAAGTTCTGTGGCGTCCATTTAATATTAGATAAAAATATCTCTTACGAGTACATATGCTAACATTTGCAGGCATTGTTCATCTTCATATTCTCTATATCTTTCTGCCACGTCAAATAAATAAATGACACAATGGAAAAAACCTTAAAACAAAAGTATCCTATTTCAAAACCACATTTACTACAATAAATTCTTTATTGTGACACTTTCTCCAGTTTATAGGACCCTCTCTCATATTCTATCTTATCGTATCTAAAACTCATAGTCATGTTGTCTCTAACCATCTCATAACGGTTTCCAAAACCACTTTTATCGGATGTAATAAAAAGCATGGATGGTTAATGTAAAAACGTCTAAAGTTTCTAAAGAGTCTCTCAAAGTCCAGTCACTTGGTATTGAAAATCCCATGTGTTAAAGAACGGCGGGTCCACTTATAAAGAAAACATTTTCCTTGTCTTCTTTATATTTTCATACAACTCTGTCCAATGACATCTCACAAACTCTATACCCTCAATATATTTTTCTATTTTCTCTTTGAGAAAACATTTGTATAGTTAAGATATAAAACTTTTGACATAAGTGTTCAATGTCATGAACTCTCTATAGCACCACAACTATATAATAGTCTAGCAGATATCTATCCCAGTCAATATACTCGCTTTTTCAAACCTCTCTGACAGTATTTTTCTTATTCTAATATGGTATACGTGTTCCATCTTACCTATAGGTATCTTTTCTTTTAACTCAACTCAATATTTTGTTTGTGTCTGTATATTTTGAGACGGTTCATATAGTTTGTCGAAGTCATTGCAATATAATCTTTGAGTCAGGAAATACAGTATGGCACAAATGAGATAATATAGAAACTTCCACCGAACAAATCTACCAATATGTTAGACATTCGGTATAGTTTCTTAAGTTCTCTCAATAGAATATCTTTACATCTACTCTTATTTCCAAAGAAGGGTAACGGTGGTTTTGTAAAATTCATTTTATATATATAATAAAAATGTTTTTTCCTGAAAGTGACAGAAAAGTGACGGGGGGCTAGAGGGCACGAAGTGCCTGGAAGCCCCACTACCTTTTTTTTTTTTTTTTTTTTTTTTTTAAATATTATTAAGAATTAGGAATTTAGTAAAAATATCAACTGTGACGATGAATTTTGTGAGGCTTCTAATCAATATTTTGTCAATAAATTTCAATACTTGCTACCTTATAACATTCTTAAAAAATTCAAAAATTGGTCAGTTTCGATTAATCATAGTCTTATGTATTATGTTCATATATTTCCATTTTTGGTGATTCAAGTACTATTCAATGTTGTTTTTCAGTTGTTCTCGAAAAAATAATCATTTTTTTGTGTGCAAAATCTCTTGGAAATATTTTTGTTCTATCGATACAACAATTTAGCATTGTGTTTTAAACTGATGCATTCCCTCCATCGTTGGGATAAATGAAAAGTGGTTTTGGTATTTAAGTTATTCATTTTAAATATCTTAATTAGATAATACTAGCCTTATTTTTCAAAAAATAATTCAATTATATTCAAAAAAAAAGTTTCAGTATTTCAATCAACCAAAATGTTTCGCAATAGCATATTTATCCATCTTTATCAGGCACAGATAGATTGTAACTCTGCATCACTCACTGGGTCAACTGTTGTGATATCTGATGATGCCGATTTTACAAATCAACAAACGATCGCATCATTGTTGAGAATAAAGCTACAACACTCAAACTGGTCAGGCGCATTGACAGAGATGCCTAAGTTTCGAGGATACTTGTTTGTCAAGAATGTTGTTATTTGAAGCAACAGGAATCACCGAGATTCAGAGAAGTGCTTTTATCAGAATTCACACCATCGAACAGTCACAGTTGCATAATGGGATAAACAGAATCAGAAACTATGCATTCACATATAGTTCTGTTCAAAGCATCAACTTAGAGAACGTCCGACTTTATTGGACACTACGCATTCCAGAAGTGTCCAAATCTCAAAACAGTCAACCTTGAGAAGGTCAGTGTCATCGGTGTTGCGTCCTTTCTATCAAAAGTGGAATCGAAACTTTAAACGATTTCAGTTGGATCATACTTGACTATCCAACGAGGAAGTTTCCAGAACGTGTTACTTCTTAACGACTGTTTTCTTTCTATAAATCTGGTTCCTGACTCTGACGTTTCAAACAACTCTCACTCTCTTAGACTTACGCTTTCATGAATTGTCATATGTTGAAAACTGTGACATCAAGCAGACTTTTACTCAACGTTTATGATTACGCATTTGCAAACACAGGTTTAGAAACTTTTCCTTTCGAATCTTTAAGTTCGGTTGGCAGTTATGCGTTTCTGAACACTAAGCTTACTACTGTAGCACCTTCTTCTGCAACAACTTCATTTGCGGGTTCGAGAATGACATTCATGTTTAATTACTACATTCAGACAGTTGATCTGACGAATGTTGATGGAAACTACGACCATTCATATGGTATCTTCTACAGGTGCAGTGCACTGACGACAGTTAAACTTCCTGCTTCTATGACAGTTTTACCAGACTCAATGTTCAAAGATTGCCAAGCTCTGACAACAGTAACAGCACCTGGTCTGACATATATTACGACCGATGGCTTCATGAGCTGCATCTCCTTGACAACTTTAGATCTTGGATTCTTCTAAATTGACAAAGATCGGATATCGTGGTATCCACAATGTCGAAACTCAACATCCCTGTACAGAACTGTCACCTCGGACGAACGTGCTTTTACAAGAACGAAGTATTGAAAGATCTCAGTCCACTACATAAGTTACTGTCATGTCTCAACATGTCTGCTCTGAAGACTGTACAAATTAACTCTAACTAGAACCACATTCCGTTGGTTGTTTCATGTATTGCACCAAACTAGAGTCAATTAACCTTCCAAACAGCGTCGGCACTATCTTTGAACTTGCATTTGCATTCACAAACTTTAAAGAAGTCTTTGACCTTAACAGAGTTACAGCTCTTAAGCGTGCTTCATTTCTGGGATCAAAACTTCCAGGTGTCAAAATAATAGCGCATACAGTGCCAATTCTGGGAAGCTTTCTTCGACTGTCCAAAACTTGTTACAAATAAATTTGCTCGTAGTGTTGAATCCGCTGATATGTGGGCTTTTATTGAGATGCAACAAACAAGTTCGAAAATCTCATCAGAAAGTTCTACAATTGTATGGGATTCTGAACACAGGTCCTCTTTAATACTAACGCTGTTATATATATTAGAGAAGATGCAACTTTCCCTGATGGATTCTTCGAGCAGTACAACTTCGAATATACACATTCTTGTGGTACAAGAAACCACTCCAAGTCAATGCTGTTACTAATCATTATTTTGGTTCAGAAACTCATCTTTACATCAGTAACATATAGAGATGTTTCAGAAAGCGATGTTTCTAATAGCAATTGATTTTGCTTATAGTACAGAATTATCATTAAGACGAAATGGTGGAAGTGAACTCAAAATAAGAGTAATTAGGTTATTTGCCGACCAAATATATTTACAAGGCAAAAATATCATATTACATGTCAACCTATTATCAGTATGTTTTGATAAAAAATTTTTATCAAATTATCATATTAAAATTAACATCTATATCTATTTAATCAATATCTACACTATAAATTTTTTTATTCAATATCATAGATTTTCAAAAATTTATTTCAATTTAAATTAATTTATGGTTTTCATCAAAATTGTTTTTTATTAAAAAGCATGTTTCACAATTTTTACGGTTTCTTTCAAAGTTATAAAATTTCAGATGAGTCGAAAGATCTACGATCTAATTATATAAATTGGATTCAATCTGCAATTTGAACAAATTAATTCAAGGTCAAAAACTCAAACA